GCTTAGGGGGAGCGTAACCCATGTTATGGCTTCCATTTATTAAATAGTTCAGATAGGCTGGAAATGATAGGTTCATGGTGAGAAAATGTACCATATGGTGCCCGTTCACTGATCAAAATTAGATTCAAATCGTCAGGCCCTGCCCTGGAATAAGGGAATTGACGATGATTTGTCAAGTTTCATTTTGCATTTGCATATAATTGTAAGTTTAGGTTTGCTTTTGTAATTGTAAGATAGATAGTTTGCCTCAATTGAAACATTGAGTTAAACATGACGAATCATACCTCTAAAATAGTAGTAGTTACAGTGCCGCATTATCTAACTTTTGTTTTGTTTGTTTACATATAACTAATTCTAATACCTCCTTGTTTTCTCTCTAATTTGTCTACTATGTCCCACCATCACGATGAGAGATGAGCTACCGTACATGATACACGCTCATGTACACTCCCAAAATAGTATGCCGCAAGTAAGTATATCACAGAGGCAACTAAAGATCCAGAAACAAAAACCGAAAACGCTGAACGGCAGATTGGTTTACAGTGGTCGACCAGGGTGTGTGCTGATAAATTACAAAATTACAATTACATCATTATTTCATACATACATCAGCTTGAATTGCGTTGATCGATATTACATTTTTTTTGGCTGTGCACTACACAACCGGAGCCAGCAAAGTTCAACAATCCATCGTTGCTTATGCCTTTGTTGTCGTTTGGAACCAGTTTTGCGAGATAGGTGACGATTGTGCGTATTTCTCGCGTAAATTTTGAAAAGGGCCTAGCCTGAACAATACGTAAAGAGCTAATTGAAACATTGTACGTCGCGTGAAAGTGGAACTTAATGAAGGCCTAAGTACTTTTTCGTAGTTTTTAGTTTTCGGATTTGAAAGATCGTCGGTTACAGTGGCCTGCTTACTGAGCAGAAAAACGCGGTCCCAGGTCCTTACATATCAAAGAGATTTATGGTAAAATCGCTTGTGTATCGTGTATTTTGCGAAACTCGTTGTTGTCGTTGGTTCCTGGTTTGAATGGATACACAAATTTGAGCAACGGTATTATGTGATATGAGGGGCTCGGTGGCCTTAGAGCAACCGTTTTTGCTTACTGAGCAGAAAATCATGAGTCTATTCTCAGCCCCATTCACAATCAAGATTTGTCAATCGTTTTATTTGTTAATATGACTACATGGTAATAACAGCAACTCGGTGATTAAAAAGGTGCTCGTCTGCCTAGTGGCAAACGTTTTTGCTTACTGAGCAGAAGACCGTGGGTTTAGTCCCAAGCTCCTTCGCGTTATATGATCGTTAGGACATCAATTCAGCTTATCGTTTACCAAAACGAACCCTGCTGCAAACCCAACCCTCTTATCCAACATACCAGTGATTACTCGTGGAAGTGCAGAGGTGTTCTCGGCTTCCATCAAAGCGAGTGTCATGTCAACACAATCCTTCCCATTCCTTTCTTGACCTGTGTTCGGGCGCGGCCGGCGCTGGTATTGCCTAATTTAAGATCACCAGTTTTTACACATTGAGGATGATTGCTAGTCCCAAGCATCGTCTATTGGTTCTCTGTGTAATTACAGCTGATCTGGCAATAACAGAGTAGCAACCGTGGGCGGTCAATCAAGCTCAAGCAAGCTCAATCTACGCTTTGACACGAGATGCAAGAGTTAAAGCACGAGATCACTCCGCCATGAAATCTTTTGACACTTTGTATAGCTGAATGACTGTTCTGTACGAAAATCGTTGAGCAACGCTCCGCAGGAAAACACGCAAAAACGAATGACAGCTGAACAGGTACGAGTGTGGGAGCGCGCTCGAGCGACGCAACACCCAGTGAAACCCACAAAAAATAAGTATACACTGAAAGTTTATTTTTTTTTTCCGATTTCCCCCTTTGTGATATTCCAAACTTTTCAAAGCGGGGGTGACTTTAAATTTATTCCGGTCTAATTTAAGAACATTAAATTACCTTATTCAATATTTTTGATTTATTTTAAAAAAAAATGCTGGGAACGGGCGGAAAATTTCCTAAATAAATTAAAAAAAAAAAGATAAAAGCTTATACAAAATGCAAACATTTGAAATAAAGAAAACTTCAACCTCTTCAAAATTAACAAAAATCGTTGGACAATAACTTTTGGTCAAATATATAATCTCAGTTCAAAATGAGCAGGTTAAAATGATTCGGATATCGCACATTCACTCAATACTTTTAACTTTCCATCTTGCAGCATCTTGCAGCATTTGACAGCAGTGTTTCCAGAATTCCAGATTTATCTGGATTAACCATGTTTTTTTTTTTTAAATATAATCCAGGTATACTCAGATCTTGTTTTCAATATATCACTGCTATTGATTCATCCTCTCATCTAATAAAAATGCATAAACTGAAATTTAAATGATTTAAGATTTTATGACTGTCTTGAAAGCAGTGCTGCAAAATATCAATTTCAATAACTACAAAATGAGTTTCACTAGCCACTTGATGACAGTATCAGTTCACACAGTTAGAATATCAATTTCGTTTGCCTCAATGTCAGTGCGCAAATGTCATTGATATCGTAAAGGGATCACTGATATTCAAAATTTTGCCTCAAATGTTTTTTTTTGTATACGCCAGCTAATCAAGTACCGATCTTTTGAAAACTCATCAGTAATATTAAAACAATGCAATGGTTATACAAAAAAGATGATTTATTGAGATAAAAGTAAGATTTTCGACTATTCCCCAGTGATCTTCATATGGATTGTAATATCAAATCCGTACTGCCTGATATTATGCTTGCCAAGAATATCAGTGTCAGAAGTGGAATTTAGTGCTATACCAATATCTTTGACATTGACATCACTTCTTACTTACTGTACAACAAATCTCATGCAATATTGCGAAATCATTCATGAAATTTCCACCCTCCTACGCTTGCTAGCTAAGGTTGTTTAACCTGTTTAACCGGTAATACAGTGCCATTCTGTAATACCGAATTTCGGTTATAACCAATGATTAGTGTTTATTAGTTCAATAATAGATTAGTGAATCTTGTTTTCATTGACAGCGTTGCTCTAAGCCGCCATAGGTTGTCAGCAAAGTTTGGTTCGAATCCACTCCTCTTTTGTTCTAGATGGAGCCTTGCTTCATTTGTGCATCTTTATTTTTTGAATTTGTGTGGTTTACATGTATGAATGTTTTAGTGACACAGATGCGTCTTTTCAACTTGAGTTAATGATGGTTATTCCGAGAGTCGAAGTGACTTTTCTCACTTCACTAGTGACAAATGTCACTTCGACTCTCGGAATAACCCCCAATTTGAAATTTTTAATTATTAAGAGAATAAGAAATGTGGGATTGGTTTGTTTGAAATTAACCACTTTGTCATGCTTCTGCATTCATTTACCATCAGATGTCAATGCTGTTGTATGTGGTGACATCTATCGGAAGGTCCCTTATTTTACTTCCAAGCCTGTGTCCCAATTGGCTAGTTCAATTTAACTCATGGTTAAAAGTGACAGATGGAAAGTTATCGAATAACCCTGCTATTCGAGCGTGGTTATTTTTAACCGACTAGAAGTTTAATTTTGGCAACCGTGGCTGAGTTCTGTTTGAAAACCGATCGATCGAAATCACCGGGATTTTCGCACATTGAAAATATCTTTCGAAATGTCACTGAGGCACTTTGACTGTATTGAATAATGTTTATTTTTTATCGTCCCGTAAAATAAGGGGTTCTGGGAAAAATTGTATTAAGATTGAACAAAAAATATATTTATTCAATACTTACTTTGCTAAGATTTTAATTGTGAGCCTTCTTCACGGCTTATCTCTATTCCAGCACTATTACTGGAACTTCATGAATAAGTTGCATGAATTCGTATAATGTAGAGGTTGTTTTGCTACACACAGGGGCATTGAAAAAAATATTAACACACGGCACATACATTTGTCAGTGCTAGTTTTCTTCACTCTAGCAAAACGAACATAACGTTGCACTAAATTCCAAGAGAGTTGTCATTACTTCATGCTCATTCAATTAACATGAAACAATGACATGGAATGTAGTGCAACGCTATGTTCGTTTTGCTTGAGTTGAAGTCAGCCGATCGAAGACACCGACAGCATCAACCTCAACAGTCCTAGATCAAATCCCAAATCAGCGACAATAATAAAGACGCATCTGTGAAAGCTCTCACTGCCTCTGATGTTTATTTTACGATTTATTTTTAGAATCGATAAAATATATGTGTCAAAACAAGAAGAAAATTTCATGTGGCTTACATACAAACATTACTTAGTTTGATTTATTACATGAATATGATATTGTAGTGAAAATAAAAGCTTACCCAAGTAACCGCAAGCATTATATCATTGCACATTAACATCTTTATATAAGCAAGATTAATGTAAACTTCCTTTAAATCCACATGTTAAATGCCAAAGACATTAAATTGACATTGCAAAGACTTTGAAGCATTGTTGCAAAAGAACATCTTAATACGCTTTATATCGCCATTTGATGCTACAAATTAATGTTTTCCTGCATTAATTTGGCTAATGCATGTTTAATCTTAAAAGTTGCCCTTGAGCTCAATAAAAAGCTTGATGGAAAAGCTACACTGCATCTTTTATTTTGATTCTATTTTTAGAATTTATAGGTATTGAAGCTTAAATATGGATTGTAGGAAGAAATGGCAAATGCTGCTGAAAAGTGGTAATTTTAGAAGAAAAGTTAAAAAATATCGTAATACAGTGGTTATCAGACCATTCCAAGCAGCAAATCAACCGATTCAGAAAGATATTAATTCCACTATAAACGTACCTGGTCCGGTGTTTAAGTTTCCGGAATATATTCAAGATCAGTCCGATATATCGTCAAATGAAGAATCACCCACATCTCAACCGGAACCCAGCAAAAACAATTACTTTGAAGATGTGACCATGCTAAGTTCAGATTCTGAGAGTTCTAGTGACGAATCAATGAATCAGAGTTGTATTGTACCACCTATGGACTTTGAAAAATCTGAGGAGGAAAAAAAGACCGGGGATCTCCAAACATTTTTGCGGAGCTGGGGTATTGAGCATAATATTCGGCAGCATGCCATGAAACCGTTGTTGCAGAGATTAAATCAACTGGATTCAAAAATATCTACGGATCCACGTCGTCTATTATCAACGCCGCGGAATAAGAAGCCTATATCATCTATAGAAGGAGGCCAATACTGGCATCAAGGGATTGGTAAGATGATTAAGATTTTGGTTTTTTAATCATTTGTTCAAAATGTAATCCTATACTATGCCTTTCAGAAATTTGCCTTAGACGGTGCTTCACCAATTTGAACGAATCATGTTCAATTTTGATCAACATCAACATTGATGGACTTTTTTTTTTTTTTTTGTTTATTAATTTATTTGATAAGGCTCAACCGAATTAACTTTACAGAGCCGAGGATTCTTGGTCACTATACAATACATCTTAAAACTATAGTCAAAAGGTACAACACAATAAACACTTTATCTTCCGCTATCCAAAAAGCCTCCTCCATCAGAACTGCAGCCGCTTCCAGTGGTTTCATTGTATGGCAAATTGTTGTACGCCAACGAGGGTCAGAGCGCGTCCATTGCAGCAATGGACGCAAAACGTGGTCAGCACTCACACACCCATCACGAAACGGTTGCTTTCCAAAGTCGACGACGCATCGACCGAAAGAACTGCTGATGAAGAACAATGAGGAGGACCACACAATGGTTGCTGCCGAGAAAACAAACGATCGCGTAGCACACATCGAGAGTGGCCTGCTTTTGTCGACAGCCGAGTGAACACTGACATTGATGGACTACCCTTGTTCAATAATGGAACAGATCAAGTGTGGCCAATTTTATTCAATATCCATAGTATGCCAGAAATCGATCCCATGGTCATTGGTGTCTTCCATGGCCGCTCGAAGCCGAAGAAAATCGAACAATTTCTAGAGCCGTTTGCGAGTGAAATCCTTCCAATTTTAAAGAATGGATTGGTAATTAACGGGTTTAAGATGCTTGTGAAAATTCGAGCATTTATTTGTGATTCACCTGCGCGAGCGTTTATAAAAGGTATTATTTTCAATCCCTTAAAAACATTTTTTTAGTAACACTTTCCCTTTTATTGTAGGGGTAGTGAATTTCAACTCATTACACGGTTGTTTAAAGTGCTGCACAGTTGGTCATCATTCAACTTTATTACGAACTAACATATTTCCCAACACTTCAGCAATTCGTAGAACTCATTCTGGCTTTCGAAAATGGATGTATGAAGGACATTATCAACACTACAAGATTCGGGAAAATGGAAAGTTATTCAAGCAACCAATCATTACTCCGCTGCTAAAGCTACCGATAGATATAGTTGAAGATGTCATAGTATCTGACTCGCTTCATCTACTTCATCTTGGAGTTATGAAGAAACTACTTCTTGCATACCGAGATGGTCACAATGGTCTGGACGCAGCTAAATGGTCGAAAGATGACATCAAATCCATTTCAAAACAACTGGACACAATTCGTTTACCATTAGAAATTCATCGTTCTGTACGTAGCATAGAAACTGTAAACCACTGGAAGGCTTCAGAATGTGCTTCGTTTTTAAACTACATAGGTATCATCCTTCTGAAACAATTTCTTAAAGAAAGTCATTTCATAAATTTTTCAAATCTTTTCTGCGTGGTAACAATTTGCTCTAGTAGCTATTTCCATCGTTTCCTACCAGTAGCTAAAATATTATTCAAGGATTTCATCACTAACTACCACAGACAATTTAATTCAGCCACCAGTAATATCCACAATTTAGCTCATGTTGTAGATGAGGTTCAAAGGTTTGGTGCTCTACCTTCGATTTCATCCTACCCATTTGAAAACCATTTACATCAAATTAAGAAGCTTGTTAGGACAGGGCGATTACCATTATCACAAATCATTAATCGTTTATCTGAGAAAAGTAGTTATAATCCAGATCTGAAAGACAAATCAATGCCTTATCCTTCCTTGAAAAATCCATTTAAAGAGGACAATAATAAGTATTCCATCATACAATTATCGAAAAACTTCACATTGAAAAATTCGTTTCCGGATAAATGGTTTTTAATGAATGACAAAACGATTGTCGCAATGAATTATGCAGATTCAAATGGAATCAATGGATCAGAGCTGATTTGATAACCTGTTCATGAATCCCTTACCATCAATGAATATTCTTGTTTTTTATTCATCAGACATTACCTGCAAAACCCAAAAGATGTATCCTTTACAGCAAATTCTATGCAAATTAGTTGTTATAGTTGTTAACAATGAAGTCGTTTTTGTACCTCTTCATCATACTCTTCCATCTACAGAATGTATGTAATTGTTCAAATAGAAGCTCATATAAACATTGTTTATTTTACAAAGTAAATGAATTCACAACATATTATTAAAAGAAAAATCATTGGACCAGTTCGAATATGCATTAGAAACAAAATTAAATGCGAGAAGATTCGCCATAAGCTTCTGCCTTGAATGATGACTCCTCTTCTAGGAACTCCTCTTCCATTTCTTGAGATCGTCTTTGGCCCTCATTAAGTTCATTTGGATCGCATTGGGAATCTTCACTAAACTCTCGGTCATTTTCAAGCAAGTCATTTGCATTTTTGACACGCCGATTCCTGGCCACTGGCATACGTAGACGTTTGATTTCTTCAAGTCTTTGCTTCGAATTTTGAATACATTGTTTGAAACATTTCATCAGCGTGGAAAACAACTTGAAAAAACAGATCGATAAATCTGTCATATTTCGAAAATGCAATCTTCATTTGCGGGTTTCCATTTGCATCTTTGCTCTTGCTAACCCCTGTCCACGACACTTCACGTAGAAATCTACGATCCACAAAGTAATCAATTAGCTGTAAGCACACAGTTTGACCGTTTCCCGTAAAACGGTGCTTTCCATGGATTTTTGACAATGATTTGATCACGTTTTCAACAAATCTTTCGTCCATGCATCTCTGCTCCAATGCTTCAAGCTCAGTAACATTCCTGACGGGATTTAAAGCAAACTTTTTCACCTCAGTTTGATCGTCCTCCGCATGTTCATGAGAAGCAATAACATCAAGTTTAGCGTTGGCTTGAGAAAGCATAAGCATTACCTGATTCAACTGGTTTTCCATGCTAACATTACGTTGGTCTTCCTTCTCAGCAATAACATTAAGCTTTGCATTAACTTGAGAAAGAGTGACTATTGCCTGACTCATCTGTTTTTCCAAGCTCTGCAGTCTACCAGACAACGATCCTGACAAAAGGTTTGCGGTTGATTCAGCAACTATAGACTTGGAAAGGTTATGTGAATAATTCAGCAACGGAGTTGCGTGAAGTGTACCATGGTTGGTCATCACGGAAGAATCCAGCATAGAAGCAGTAGGAGCATCATTGATTAGAGCTGATGTTGATAGAAAATCATTCATTTGCACTGAATTTTCTCTGGATGTAGATGCTGGGGCATCTGCTGTTTGGTTGAGAATCTCCGAAAACAACTTTGCAGCTCCTGTGTCAAATTGAGTAGGTTTCTGTGGTACAAATTCATCCGTATCAGAGTACATCTCCATCAGCTTTTGTTCCTTTTGTGCCTATAATGAAAACCAGGTGATTAGTAACATAAGAAAGATGTTTTTTGGTTGCTTACATTCTTATACGTATCGATTCCAGAACGTTTTATTTTGCATCGGAATGCCACGAGCGATGTTCTGTCAATCCCAACCGTGGGGTTTTTTTTTGCCTTTTCCAATAAACGATAACCTGCTGCTTTCACTGGCCAATAGCACAAATCACCTCCGTCGGATGCAGTCAACTTATCAGGAATACCTTTATTCCAGCCATTTTTGGTGACCCAGTTAGAGGGCAAAACGCAAAGGTATGTTTCCTCCTCATCAAACGAACATTGAACAACCGAATACTTATTTTGAGTCATGCTGAAATGGAGGCATCATTGTTGAATCTTTAACTTGATAGTTTAGCTATAGTTTTACCTGAAGATTTGCGTTCTAATAGTCGTTTATATCAGAAAACTGAAAAAAAAGTACAGCACACAAAGTTGGGATCTTGTTTTGTTTTTTTTTTTTTTCATTGAATGTCAAAATTCAACAGTGCTTCCGGAAACTTTTTTTTTATTCATATTTTTGTGCAGGGGTGCCAAGTCTTCAATTAGTGCAATGTTACTATATAATTCAAATAAAGAGTATTATAATGCTACCATAGCGTGAAAATAGAGCAATAAACCTTTCTCTTCATTTGAGAAGAAGACATGCCGAATATCAAGTTCATTTATAGCTTAGGGTGTAGGATACTGGTTATAAAGGCAGATGACCATAATCAACCTGGGTTCTATTCCAGCCAGAGGAAAGATTATCAACAGAATTTAGTAATTAAAAAAATATATATAAAAATGTAAGCAACTAAACAACAACTAAAAACAAGAGTTATTTATGCTTCATGACGAATTAAAATAAATTTTCAACATTTTATAATATATTTTTTAAATGCATTAAATCAACATTCTTAATGTATTGTGGCGTTAATATTAAATATTAAAAACACTTCTATCGATGAAGTAGACACTTGCTTTATATCTACATTAATTATGGCAATATACGTGCTTACCTGACAGATCTCAAATGAGTCTAATAATCGCCACTTTATACTAACATTACAAAAACATTTAAAGTCTTGTGGCATTTAATCAATATCGTCATAAGAAGATATAAATCTGAATTAAAATAGGGATATAATGCGTCGTGGTTACTTGGGTATGCTTATGGGTTTCAAATCCATTTCCGTTCATTCTTAAAATTTGACCAATTTCCATTCACCATATGACGATCATATAAAAATCATCAACTTATCAGCATTGTCAATGGATCAGATATTCATAAAGCATTCTGGCACATTTTCAAGCATAGCGTTTTCATTGGATTTTCTCATAGCGCAAATTTATTAAACTTTCACATAACGGGAATATATTATTTTGGTTCAGTGTATACTCCCCATCAGCTGTCACTGCTAAGTGACTGATTAACACTTCAACCAAGAGTCAAAGAGCGCAACACTCGTACGGAAAGCACATTGAACTTATAATGCACTTCTCCGAAGAACTTACCACTGCTACCGTAATGTTCCGAATATCAAACAGTTCGTTAGTCCAGTCATTTCACGTTTTGTTAAATCTTATGTTTAATAAAAATGTGTGATTATTCTGAACGATTCTAAGGGACCACGATCAAATGTAAGTGTTATGTGGAGCACAGTTGAAATTGATAATCAACTATTTAGGTGTCGGGGTTGCAATGCTATACGGTACAGGCCATCATTTGCTTCCGGCTGAGAAAATTGCCTAAAACTGTTGGCAACCACCTGAGGCGCACACCCGCCTGTGCGCACATGTTTGCATGTTCACCGTCACAGAGAGCACATGCAACCAGGAAGACGAAGGGGTGCTAAACAATGTGAAATTACCATCCACAGTATCACGCAAACCATTCATTATGAGTGATGAATGGCCCCAGGTAGTTAGCTCGAGAAAATATGGATTTTGATGATCGATCTGACAGACGGCCGCTCGATAGTGCTTGTTTTAAAGTTGCCTACTTGCTTGGCATAAGGATTTTATTTATGCTTCCTGTTCCTCACCTCCTAGTTAAGTACAGTTCTCCAAAAGCCATTAAATGCCAAAATAACGATCGAATCAATTCTTCCCTAAACGCTTCGCAATATTGACCATTTGGCTTTAAATTATTTATGGCGATTTTTATGTCGGCTTTCCACACTTTATCCTCGTCCGTCCCAGCTGATTTCCCCTTTCTTAATCGACAGGATTTTTTTCGTTTTTCCTTGGAACCATTTGGCTCGTTCGATTCGGACTCCGGCTGGCCGAGATTCATGGAAAAGGAAATAAAATCCTTGTTTTTATTGCTTTTTGTCTGACTCCTTTGGCTGGGCGCAACTAGCATCGTGTAGCGTGTTTTATGGCCCTTCCAGATCTCTCCAGATCCTCAATTGGTGAGGGAAGGAGATGGAAATCAGGCTTCCTAATTTTGGCCAACTGGACTGGGAACTGAACTGAGTAAGCAAAGCAAAACAAAAAAAAAACCAGGAAAGTGATTCCGAGCGTATAATAAAAGGACTTCCGGTTTTTATTTATCATCGATTTGATGCGAATCCGACTTTCGGTCCTTCCACGAACTTTTCCGGGGTGATGATGGTAGTCAAATCTACGAGTTAGGCTTGGATCCATACCTTTATGCAAGCGCTTACAAGTTGTAAAAATCCTTTCCACTACCACTTTCCACGGTCTTAATAAGTCGTGAAAATCATAGCTCCCCTTCCCAACCCACGGAACA